ATTTCACTTCTTCTGCTGGGTTTGGGTTGGTCTGTTCTTCTTTTTCCAGCTCTGTGTTGTTTCATTAGATTGTCTATTTGTGATCTTTTTGACTTTTGGTTATAGTCATTTATGGAAATAAACTTTCCTCTCAGTACTGCTTTAGCTGTGTCCCAGAGGATTTGATAACTTGTCTCTCCATTGTCATTTTGTTCCAATAATTTTTTTTATTTCCATCTTGATTTCTACATTCATGAAATAATTATTTAGTAGGAGGTTGTTTAATTTCCACGTTTTTGTGTAGAAATGTGAGTTTCTGATAGGGTTGATTTCTACTTTTTTCCACTGTTATCTGAGAAGATGCGTGGCATGATTATTTTTTTAAATTTCTTGAGGCTTACTTTGTCTCCTCAGATATGATCAATCTTAGAGAGTGTCCCGTGAGCTGAAGAGAAAAACATATAATCATTGGATTTGGGTTGATGTCCAAATCACCCAGGACATTTACAGAATGTCCTGTAAATGTCAGTTAGACCCAATTGTTCTAGAGTTTTGTTTAAGTCCATTATTTATTTATTAATTATCTGTTTGAAGGATCTGTCCTGTGCAGTCAGTGGGGTGTTGAAATATCCAGTTATTAAGGAGTTGCTGTTAATCAATTTGCTTAGATCTAGTAAGGTTTGCTTTATGAATCTAGATGTACCTAAGTAGGGTGCATATATATTTAAGATTGTTATCTCTTCTTGTTAAACTGTGCCCTTCACCATTATATAATGACCCTCTTTGTCTTTCACTACTTTTGTTGGTTTAAAAACTAAATCATCTGGTATTAGAACTGCCACGCCAGCCTTCTTTTGGCTTCCACTTGATTGGAATACTGATCTCCACACCTTTACTTTTAATCTATATGCATCCTTGAAGGTTAGATGTGTTTCCTGAAGACAGCAGGTACTTGGCCTGTATTTTCTTATCCATTCAGTCAGCCTATGTCTCTTGATTGGGGAGTTTAAGCCATTCACATTTATTGAGATAACTGATAGATGAGGCAGATTACTGTTCATTTTGTTGGGTTGGATGTTGTTGCTTTGATTTCTCTCTTCAGCCACTGTAGTATCTGACCTTTAATATTTAGGCTTTGGGTGTTTTTATATCCGTGAGTTTTTATTATGGTGTTCCGTGCATAACACTGTTTTGAGTACTTTCTTGTAGGGCTGGTCTTGTCTTGGTGAATTCCCTCAGACTTTGTTTATCTGAGAATGTCTTAATTTCTCCTTCATATGTAAAGCTTAGTTTGGCAAGGTACAAGATTCTAGGCTGGGCATTATTTTGTTTCAAAAGAGTGAGAATGGGGCCCCAGTCTCTCCTTGTTTGTATTGTTTCAGTTGACAAATCTGGCATTATTTGTATTAGTTTTCCTTTGTATATAACTTGCTTCTTTCACCTTACAGCTTGTAGTAGGGTCTCTTTTATTGATATTTTGGTCAGTCTGATGACTACATGCCGTGGTGTTTTCCCGTTTGCATTGTATCACCCAAGAGTCATTTTGGCCTCTTGTATTTCTAACTCTAAATTAACGGTTAGACCTGGGAAATTTTTTTCAATTATTTCTTCAAATAGCTTATCCAACCCTTGAGTTTTTTCTTCCTCCTTCTCTGGAATCCTGTGGACCCACAGGTTATTTTTCTTTGTATAATCCCACAATTCTCCTAAGCTTTGCTCATGTCTCTTATTTTTCTGCTCTTACTCTGTGATTAACTGATTTGATTTGAAGGTGTTGTCTTCAATCTCTGAGATTCTTTCTTCTGTTTAGTCCACCCTATTTTTGAGGCTTTCCACTGTGTTTTGTATTTCGCTGAATAGATTCTTCATTTCCAGGATATCAGACTTATTCTTCTTCAAGATCTCGATTTCCTCAGTGAATCTTTGCCCCAATTCCTGTATTTTCTTTGTAGTTTCCTTGTGTTGGTTATCATTTTTTCTTGCATATCATTGAGCTTTCTTACAATCCAATTTTGGAATTCTTCTATCATTTTCATGTTTTGGGTTTGTTCAGTCTCCATTTCTTAAGAGCTGGTGTATCTCCTAGGGGAGGTGTTTTTGGTTTGATTTTTTGAATTTCCAAAAATTTTATGCTGGGCCCTCCCCATCTGGATCAATTGATGGTGCTCAGGTGTCCTCTCTTTTGTAGTTTCTTGATCAGCCATTGGGGGGAGCTCTTCCACCACACTTGGAAGGTTCCCCTGATGGGTGGGGTTGCTTGTGGAGCCTGCCCCTGACCGGGGAGGAGATCCAGTCCCAGTTTTTTGTTCAACTGGGTGACCTAAGCTGCTCTGGGAAGCAGAGTCTTTTATACTGTGTGGTTGCGCACTACACAGGCCTAGCAGGTTCTCCCTAGATCTTTGAAAGAGTGGGTTTTCTTGTCTTGCTCTGCCTCCAGGGGTGGAAGCTACCACTTTTGTCAGGAGAGATGTGGGCTGGGGGGAGAAATTAGCTCCTGAGTCTGCCCTGCATCCTGGCGCCCCAGTGGCTATGGCTCCCGTTGGTGCTAGTTCTCTCAGCTGTTCGTTCTATTTTTAATTCTTATGGATATATATTACTTGTACATATTTGTGGGATACATGTGATATTTTGATACAAACATACAATATATAATAATCAAATGACAAATAAAATCCTTTCATTTGCAACAACATGGATGGAATCTGAGGACTTTATGTGAAGTGAAATAAGGTGCAGAAAGACAAACATCACATGATTACATGGTCTCATTCATATATGAGAACTAAATAATAATTGGACTCAAAGAAACAGAGAGTAAAATCATGGTTACCAGAGGCTGAGTAATGTAGCCAGAGGGGAGAGTAGAGAGGGGAGAGTTAATGGGTACAAATTATAGTTAGATAGAAGGAAAAAAAATCTAATGTTTGTTAGCACAATAGGGCAGCTATAGTTAATAATTTATTGTGTGTTTTAAAATAATAAAAAGAATGGAATTGGAATGTTGCTAACACAAATGATAAATGGTTCTATGTAGATTTTGACAGCTGTCTTGCAGAGATTTGGGAGCAACGTAGGACTTTAGTGTTAACTTTTTGAAAAACCAATTGAAGGGTATATATTTTGCTGTCCTATTTTTCTCATATCATGTCCCTGTGACAAGCATAGGGATAGCTATTAAAATTGTTGTTTATTTTAATACTTTAAAGCAGTCTCACTGATCTTGAGGTGATAACTCATTAGCTCAAGCATTGTCATCTTTCCCCATCATTATGTCAGGTATTTCAGCCTTTAAAATTAAAGAACCAACCATTTCTTGCTTTAATGCTTTTATCTTTTTCTCTCTCACTACATTAGGGATTCACATGTTGAGAAAGCTCAAAGATTCCACTTAAATAGTGGTAAAAATGAAAGGTACATAATTTAATTTGCCCATGATTCCACAAATCCTATGCTTGAAGTACCACTTCATGTCAACAACTTGAAAGGAAGGAAGGAATATGAAGTGTGACTCTTGAGAACTGAGGTTCCATTTCTCCACAAATATTGCAGGATGTGTAGATCCCAATGGGCTTCTTTCAATGTCATCTCTTTGAGTCATTCTGATAATTATACCATTAACTTCAAGCACTGGAAACCCTCTTTAGGCAGTGCCTTCAGGTCAAGGTTAATAAAGTATAAGAAAACCAGTTTCATGACTTGATAATTACAGAACTCCTTCCCTTTCCAGAAATCTTGTTCTTTTTTTAAAATTACTACTTTTTCCATTGCCCCTTCTTCTTCTTCCAGAGCCAGTCTGTTCAAATAAATATTCTGAGAACTACCATTTCCCTCTCCTTCCTGCACACCAAAAGTCTATACTATTTAAACTGCACACATAAAATATGAAAGTGATGAGTTGAGCTTCATAAATATCAACATGAGAAGCTGAAGGATCATTTGTATTAAAATTCTCCCTGATGGTTCTAAAACAACACCCATAACCTTTGGAAAATTAAGATAAGGAGATTGCCAGAAGGAGGACACCCACTTTTCTCTCATTCCTTCATGATTTAATAATATTTTCTGTTTCTAATGAAATTCATGAATTCTGCTCACAGAAAGCTTATTAAAAGACTATGAAACACAAATTTGTTCAGAGTTATGTGTAGAGATGTTTAAGAAAAAAAAGACATTAGGTGAACTCCAAAAGAACTTATAAACTTTACAGAATTTTCATGACTGAATTTTATATCTTTCTTTCTTTCATCTATTTATGGGGTTTATATTACCTGCATTAAAGCTTAAAATATATTTTATGAGAAATAATGAGCTATCTGAATTTCCTATGCCCCTTATTATCAAGACTCTGTAGATTGAAACAATATTAGGACAATGTATCTATTTATCATTTGACACTTTGCATCCTGAAGCCTGAGGTGTCAAACCCACAACCCACATATTTTTTTCAGATAATTACAGGCTAATCACATTGAAATGGCCTTGGTCTCATGTAGCTTAGCTTTAGGCTGTGTCTTCATCATTGAAGGCAAGTTTAGTATAGACTTAATATATGTGACAACACAAACAAGAAAATAAGCATATGTGGTGTATGTATACTGGACAAATTTTGGCTTACTACTGTTTATCCCAAGGCAAGTTGCTTAAACTCTCTGAGGTTCTATTTATTTATTTGTGTTCGAAACTTCCACAGTTTTATTAGAAAAACCAGATGAGATGTTATATGTGAAAGTACTTAACAAAGTGGCAACCCAGAACACAATATATATCTAATAAATTTTCAATAAATGAATGAATTCCCATGCCCTTTCATCTATAACAAGTGTGTGGTCCTGAAATTTATGCAATTCATCATGTGCCCTTCCCTGTGCATTTTTCTGTCAGAAGGATTGTAGATTTTTACTCTCATTCAGAAATAAAGGTCTTCATATGAAAGAAATTTACTTTTACATGTTAAAAAGGATTCGTGTATTTATTGTATCTTAGTAACAGTATTATACTATTTACTGAAGAAATTTTTAAGATACAGTATCCAACTTTTATTTGGTTAGAAGCATTTGTAAAAACTTGATCTAGGTCTCTTTAATAAGAAAGTGCCTTGAATTTCACAGAGGAAACAGGTAAATCCCATCTTCCATTCATGTCCCACATTTTTCACACTCTGCCTTCACTATCACACCCCTATGGCCACGACTATCACAAAAGAAAACACATATTTCTGTTGTTTCCAAGATTCAATAAAAGAAATTGTCTGGATGATAATTCTGGCCTTTGGAAAATGCCAATGAACATAGGTAAATCAAGTCATAATTGAAGAGTTATTTTAGCCAATCATTGATGACCCACTCTCCCTGCTCATGAGGCGGGAACGGGTCACAGAGCTGCCATGGCGGGATATTTGGTCACGAAACTCTGAGGCCATGAAGTAATAGAGAATTGGATCCAAAAGGCAGCAGAGACTTGCAAGGCACAGACAAAAGGGGTGGAAATACAGCGTGCTTTGGACAATGGGACAACTGCTAATGATGGTTTCCTTTACCATGGTATAAAAAACAAAGTTAATATGATAGGGACTGAAACATATGAAGAAAACTGCAGCACACATGAAAACCATCCTCAGTGCTTTCTGCCTCTCATTGATCCCTTGGAAAGCCATTGGCGGCTGTCTCAAGGATATAGTGGTTTTCCAGGTACACCATGCGATGATGATCACTGGGATCACAAATCCTGCAAGCTCAGCAACTGTAATCATTCCAACCAAAGCCACTGCATTCATTTGCTTGTAACCAAGATCAGCAAAGCAGGACTTGGTGTTGTTAGCTAAGTCTGTGCTTCTCAGGATGGGAAATGGCAAACAGGCAGTCCCCACGATGACCCAGATGGCAGCACTGATGGCCACATCATATCTACGTTTCCAGTCTCTGGCCCTGAAGGGCTTGAGGAGAAAGAAGCACCTCTGAAGGCTGATGCATGTCAGGAAGCAAATGCTGGCATACATGTTGAGATACTTCAGGTAAAAGCACAGTAGGCAAAGGGCTCTCTGGAAAGGCCAGTGGTGGTTGATGTAATAGTAAATCCGGAGGGGTAAAGACAGCACATGAGCAAGGTCAGCCACAGAGAGGTTGATCATGAAAATGATGGCTTTATTTTTCTTGCTGATGAAGCGACATAGAACCCACAAGGCCATGGTGTTGGCCAGAAGACCAGGGATGAAAATCAGGATGTAGGTGGTTGCATAAAGGGAGTACTGAAATGTCATATTAGGGACACTGCAGTCAGTCTGAGAGGTGCTGGTACTGTTGTTGCCCATCTTGAATGTTTCAGTATATTCTTCAAAGTAAGCCATAGAGTTATGATCCCTGCCCAAAGCAAAGGAAAAAAAAAGTATAATGGTTAACTGGTTGTTTAGCTAACATGCTTATCTCTCTTTTATGTTCACAGAGACATAGAATATTAGCATTAGAAGGGACCTGTTTACAAATGAAGAAGGAGAGCTCAAGGAAGACATATTACTGATCGGAGGTCACCCAATAAACCAGTCAAGGAATGATACAATTGTCCCTCAACTGCCCTCCAAAATACTCTAAGTGTATCTTGCAGGCAAGGGTGTCTTGAAATATTCAGCATCTTGTTCTCACCACTGCAAAAACAGCATAGTATTTGAGTATATTTCTTTTCCCTCCAAAATTGTCTTGTCCAAAGGTCTGGTTAAAGTGAATGCTGATCGCTCACTCCCAATTGCAATGGTTAAAATTCAGCCTCACCTTTTAGGTCCTCTTGACTCTTCTTTGTCTGCCACCTTGACCATTGGGTGCTGGCTTCCTACCTTGGCACCCAACACTTAGAAAATTGCCCTTCCTCCTTGAGCCTGCATTACCAGTGTCCTGGCTGATTTTCAGGACCTGGGAATGTAGCTTCCTTATTATTCTGTCATAATAATTTGTGACTCTGATGTTCTCTTGCAGTTTGTCTCTCTCCCTTGTCTTGGGTCTCATTCCAAATTTACATGAAAAACATCAATAATATATAAACTTAGATGAACTAGGATATTTCCCTTCATGTGATCTTGAAAGGAAAGAGATCGATTCTACCTCTAAAAGAAATCCTATACTGGTGTGGCAACATTGGCATTGCAGATTATCCAAATACCACAATGAACATTGCTTAAGACACCAGCAAAACAAGAACACCAAAACCATCTTTTGGAAACAACTGAATATTTAATGCTTTTTATTTATCAAAATAATCGTTATAAGAATAAAATATCTTGGACTTCCTTAATCATATTTTATACTTTAGTATGCTTTTTATTACATATTATATTAACACATAAAAAAGTAGAGTAATCTTTACAGCTGCTCAGGGCCTGGTCATGGAGTTATGCAGATTGCCTGAAGATAAGAATGGTGGGAGAGCACCAGACTCATTATTTTGCTTTAACTATCTTGTAGAATTGCATACTGGGAAGGACACTTGGAAATCACCTAGTTCAGCCTCCACATGATACAGATAGAAGAAGCAAGGCCTAGAGAGAGGAGTTTGTTATGGCCACACAGCAATTAAATGGATGATCTGCGGCTGAAATGGGAGGACAAGGTATCTAGTCTTCATAAACCCCCGTCTCCCCATCTTTGCATTCCTCCAAAATTGTACAAACATAACTTCTGTGTATATTGTAGAAATATTTATCGTATAATATTTAGATCTGGAAATTTAAGAAATAAAGTCATACAATTGTCCCTCAGATGGGGTAAGAGTTTTTGTTGTTATTGATTTTATTTTGTTTGGTTTTAAATAAGTTTACAAAAACAAAGGACTGACCTGGTTTTAGATTCTTCTTATAAGTAAAATGGTTTCCCATATCGTGTTAAGACCTCCTCAAAACCACTTTCACTTTCCATCCTCTTCTATTTCATCCCCCTATTTGGCTTATCATCTGTGATATGTCTTAAAGATCCATGCAGTCATCTTGCATATGTATGTGTGACTTAGAATGAAGTTTGGAGAAGTGCTCACAGATGGAAAAGCAAGAAATAATGATCATGCTGGGACCCTTAAAGATGTACCCCAGAATCTGCAATGGAAGGTTTTGTGTGTTTTACCTAATTTAATGTCACAACTGTCTTAAGAGGTAGGAACTGTCACTCCCAAAATGCAGATGAGAAAACTTAGGTTCAGAGACATTCAGTAAATTGTCTGAAGTAGCAAAGCTACAAAATGGTAAAGGAAGGATTTATTGTCATTCCTGGCTAGCTCCTAAGCCTACGCTCTTCCACTATGTCACTTGCCTCTCCCTGACTAGGAGAGATCTCTTAGTAGAATGAGGCTGGCTTAACTACCATTCATCTTGACACATAAAGAGTACATTAAAACATTCTCTAAGATTGACCATATCCTAGGACACAAAGCATGTCTCAAAAAATTTTTAAAAATAGAAATTATACCATGTATCTTTTCAGACCACAGTGGAATAAAAGTAGAAATCAACCCTAACAGGAAGTCTCATTTCTACACAAAGTCATGGAAATTAAACAACCTGCTGCTGAATGATCACTTCATAAATGAGGAAATCAAGATGGAAATCAAAATATTCTTTGAACTAAATGACAAAGGAGACATAAGTAACCAAAATATGTGGAACACAGCTAAAGCAGTCCTGAGAGGAAAGTTAATTTCCATAAATACCAATATCCCAAAGTCGAAAAAAATCACAAATAGACAACCTAATGAATCCTCTCAAAGAGCTGGAAAAAGAATAACAGACCAACCCCAGACCCAGCAGAAGAAGTGAAATCACTAAGATCAAATCAGAACTAAACTAAATTGACAACAGGGAAGCTATACAAGAGATTAATAAAACAAAAAGTTGGTTCTTTGAAAAAGTAAACAAAATTGACACACCTTTGGCTAGATTAACAAAAAGAAGAAAAGAAAAATCTCTAATAAGCTCCATCAGGAACAATAAAGGACAAATTACAACTAATGCCATAGAGATACAAGATATAATTTATGAATACTACAAAAGCCTTTAAGCAACAAACTGGATGTGGAGGAAATGGACAAATTCTTAGAAATACACAGCCTCCCCAGGCTCAACCAGGAAGAAATAGAATTCCTGAACAGACCAATATCAAGTACTGAAATTGAAACAGCAATAAAAAACCTTCCTAAAAAGAAAAGTCCTGGACCAGATGGTTTCACACCCGAATTTTACCACACCTACAAAGAAGATCTGGTGCCTATCCTGCAGAAATTATTCCACAACATGGAGAAGGATGGGATCCTCCACAACACATTTTATGAAGCCAACAGAAGCCTGATACCAAAACTAGGAAAGGATGCAACAAAACATGAAAACTACAGACCAATATCCCTTATGAATATAGATGCAAAAATTTTCCACAAAATCCTAGCTAATCGAATCCAGGTACATATCAAGAAAAAAATGCATCACAACCAAGTGGGTTTCATCACAGAGATGCAGGGATGGTTCAACATATGCCAATCTATAAATGTAATTCACCACATAAACAGAAACAAAAACAAAGAACATATGATCCCCTCAATAGATGTAGAAAAAGCATTTGACAAAATTCAACACCCTTTTATAATAAGAATGCTTAACAAACTAGGCATAGACGGGGCTTACCTAAAAATGATACAAGCCATATTGACAAACTCACAGCCAACATCATACTGAATGGGGAAAAATTGAAAGCATTCCCACTTAGAACTGGACCAAGGCAAGGTTGCCCACTATCTCCACTTCTATTCAACATAGTGCTGGAAGTCTTTGCTATGGCAATCAGACAAGAGAGCAGAATCAAGGGCATCCAAATGGAAGCAGAAGAGATCAAACCCTCACTCTTTGCTGATGATATGATATTATATCTAGAAAACCCCAAGGATTCAACCAAGAGATTCCTCAAATTGATAAATGAATTCAGCAAAGTCTCAGGATACAAAATCAACACACAGAAATCAGAGGCATTCATATATGCCAACAACAGTCAAAGTGAGAATAAAATCAAAGACTCAATTCCCTTCAAAATAGCAACAAAGAATATAAAATACCTAGGAATATATTTAACTAAGGAGGTAAAATACTTCTAGAGGGAGAACTATGAAACTGTGAAGAAGGAAATAGCAGAGGATGTAAACAAGTGAAGACCATACCATGCCCGTGCATTGGCAGAATCAACATTGTTAAATTGTCTATATTAGGGTGATCAGCAGATTCTATGCAATCCTTATTAAAATATCATCATCATTTTTTGCAGATATAAAAAAAATAATTTTATGCTTCATATGGAACCAGAGAAGACCCCATATATCAAAAGCAATCCTAGGCAATAAAAACAAAATGGGAAGTATCAATTTACCAGATTTCAAACTACACTACAAGGCTATAGTAATTAAAACATCTTATCACTAGCACAAGAATAAGGACATTGACCAGTGGAATAGAGCAGAGAACCCAGATATAAAACCATCGTCATATAGCCATCTAACCTTTGACAAAGCAGACAAAAACATACACTGGGGAAAAGAATCTCTATTCAATAAATGGTTCTGGGAAAACTGGATAGCCACATGTAGATGACTGAAACAGGACCCACACCTTTTACCTCTCACAAAAATCAACTTATGCTGGGTAACAGACTTGAACCTTAGGTGTGAAACTATTAGAATTCTAGAGGAAAACGTTGGAAATACTCTTCAGGACATTGGCCTAGGCAAAGAATTTATGAAGAAGACCCCAAGGCAATTACAGCAGCAACAAAAATAAATAAATGGGACCTGATCAAATTAAAAAGTTTCTGCACAGCCAAAGAAACTGTCAAGAGAGCAAACAGACAACCCACAGAATGGGAGAAAATTTTCACAAGCTACACGTCCGATAAAGGGCTGATAACTAGAATCTATTTAGAACTCAGGAAAATCAGCAAGGAAAAATCAAATAACCCTATCAAGAAGTGGGCATTAAACAAAAATAAAAACCTTGATAAATTAAGTAATACATTTCTGCTGTTTATCTAAAATGTTGTTTTAAAATTTAGGCTATTAGCATCAATATTTCCTGCACCTACCCTTTTCAACTCAGAAAAACCATGCCTGTAGAGGCTTGAGAGAAAAATGAAAGAACCAATTTAGAATCACATGTGGTAAGACATATCGTATAGTAGAAGCCAGCACAGTTCAAGCTCTCAGAGTATCATCAATGCTATTATCTGGACCTCAGAAAGAATGTAGTCCTTGTGATCTGCTTTCAAAGGCATCTCAGCCTTTTATTTTTGTTCATTATCATTCTGTGAAGGGTGCACCTGCTTCATCTCATCAGCAAATGACTTCCTATCTA